TTCTATGTTGTTCTCTGGAATTCTTATTGTATCTGGTTCCCTAAAGATTTCATTTTGTACAAACACACTTTGGAACTTTTCGTTTAGTGTTTCACACATTTCCTTTTCATCTTCCGTGAATCTATTTCCCATTTTCAACCTCTGAATATTATCCTTTACCTGCAATTTGTTGTTTATGAATTTATAGAATAGACCTGGTTCTGTTTTACATTTGTCCGCAATCCCTTTTTCAAAATTTCTTTCTGCCTCTCTCCTCACTGCCGTGTAGTTGTTTCTCGCATCTTTGTATCGCTGGTATGTTTGGGGGTTCGGCCTCTTCCTGTATTGATTCCATTTTTGTGTCTTTCGGTCTCTAGCCCTCTCGCAATTTCTATTGAACCAATCCTGTTTCCTAGTTCTGCATCTCTGTTTTGGTATAAATTTTTTTGTGCCTTTATCATATATTTCACAAAACTTGCCATACATCTCATTCACTTCCTTGCCTAGCATCAAGTCTGTCCAATTATACTCACTAAAAAAATTTCTAAGGTCACCATAATGTCCTCTCCTGAAGTCTGGTTTTTCAACTGCTTCAACCTCCTTATTTTCTTCCAGCTTATAACGCATTGCATACTTTATTCCCAAAAAGACATGGTCACTTTTACCCAAGGGAGGAAGGTACTGAATGTCAAATATCTCTTCCTCCTTCCTGGTAAATATCAAATCTAGCATGGAGGGAACGTCCCCTTCCCTCATCCTCGTAGCTTGTTTAACATGTTGATACAAGAATGTTTCCAGGATGAGGTCTACAAATTTACAGGTCCAAAAATCTTCTGTTTTAGCTTCATATGCTTCCCAGTCTATGGATTTCAAGTTGAAGTCACCGACTATCAACAGTCGTGATCTATCGTTATCCGCTCTCGCTATAATCTCTCTCATTATTGTTATAAGACCTTCACGTTTACTATCTAGCTCCTCCTTTGACCATGTGCTGCTTGGCGGTGGACTATATGCATTTATCATCATTAGTTTATCATCCTCATAGCAGATCTCTAGTGCTATTATGTCAACTTCTTGTGGATTGGCAGTCATTATTTCCTTCACCTTTAGGTGTTCTTTTACCAGCACAGCAACGCCACCGCCTTTCCTAATTTTTCTGTCCCGTCTCCAAATTGAGTAGCCCCTTGGGAATATGACCTCATTTAAAATTACATCTTCAAGTTTTGTCTCCGTGAGTGCAACAATGTCTGGTGTCTGCAGCTGTATTACATCACTTAACTCCAGTATCTTCGATCTCACTCCATCTATGTTGGTGTATGCAATCTTCAGGAACTTGTTCCCCCTCTCCTTATTCTTCACTCCCCCTCTCTCTATTGATTTTGTTGGTTTGCCTTTATGTACCACTTTACTGGTTTGCCTACCCCTATCACTTTGTAGAAAAAAGAATTTATTTCTTCTTCATTCCTGCTCTCATTTAAATGTTTTGCCTCGGCGAGGTTCAGTTTCAGCTTCTCTCTATCTTCTTTTGAAAGATCTCGTCTTAACGACCACCCTTTCCCATCCTCATCCCTTTGCAATTTTCTAGCATTCCTTAGTACTTCTTCCATCTGTTTGGCACCGTTTAGGGTGATCCTCAAAGGTCGATCTTTCCCTTTTACGTACCTGCCTATTCTCCTGTAGTCGCACACATTCTCTCTGTTTGTAAGACCTTCCACGAGGCCAACAATTTTATCTACTACTTTAGCTTCTTCTACAGTCTTTCTGACCTGTGCCCTTTTCTTGGCCAAAAATGATCTTACTCCGATCATGTCTACATGTGACATTGTATGTGGGGGGGTCAGCCTCGTTACTTGTGTGAGGAGTCGCCACATTACTTCCTAGTGCTTTCCCGTTCCCATTCTGACACTCAAAAAAAAAAAAAAAAAAAAAAAAAAAAAAAAAAAAAAAAAATAATTCTATCTGTGGCTCTTTTGGGTACTCAGTTTCCACCTGTGTCCCCTAGTGCGTGTGCCCCTTGTGTTACATAGCCTGTCCTTATCAACCCTGTCGATTCCCTTGGGTATCTTGAATGTGGTGATCAGGTCTCCCCTCACTTCCTCTTCCAGCGAAGTGTGGTTTCATTCCCGTAGTCTCTCCTCATGACTTCGGTAGTGTACTTTTTCTTTCTGAAGGGGTTCTGTTCCCTTCTCTGTTGACTGGGCGCTGGGGGAGCAGCTTGCTCTGTTGCCTCTCGCTTGGTCCCGCTGTTGGTGGGCGCTTTGGGTTGTCTTCCGGCCTCTGCTGGCGTCGGAGGACGGCTTCTCCCCCTTGGGGGGGGTTCAGAGCTGGCGGGGTGGGCTTCTTCCCTGCGCTTCGTCATTTCCTCTTCGTGGGTGCGTGGGGCGTGGTCGATCCGCCCCATCCTTCTGGGCTTCCCGTCTGCTCTTTGCAGTCATGAGCTTTTCCAGTCTGCAGTTCTTCTGGACTACTTCAGTCTGCGCCCTGGATCCTCTGCCCTCCTCGGAGGACTGTTGTCTCCTGTTCGGATTCTGTTAGGGCCGGGTGCATGGATGGTGGACCTGGACCTCCAGGTCACTTCTTGGCACGTTCCTCTCCAGTTTTTCTGGGGCTAGCACGGTTGGTAATTACCTATGTGTACTTACCTAAGTGTAGTTACAGGATGAGAGCTACTCTCGTGGTGTCCCGTCTTCCCAGCACTCTTTGTCATATAATGCTTTGATTATAATTGTCATATTGTCATATAATGATTGTCATATGTCATAATATGTCTTAATATGATTGTCATACAATGCTTTGGTGGTGGGGCTTCAGGTTTGCTGTTTTTATTGCATTCCCTATTTTGTGAAGGGCACTTTGTATACTCTTTGCATCTTTACCGGATCTTAGTGCCCTGTCTGCGTCTGAGATTCGGTGTCTGGCCTACCTCGACGACTGGCTGGAGTGGGCTCCCAGTCAGTCCGCTTGTCTGCTCGCCAGGGGATGGTTCTTTCCAGATCGCTGGGTTTGGTTTCCTGGTGATCTGGAGGTTTTTCCTTCTGTTTCCGTCCCGGGTTCGGACCTGGGCCTTGTTTCAGGCTCTTGGGCCCCTCATTGTCTTCCCTCCAGAAGTGTTACTGTGGCTGTGGTCCCGCCTTTGGCTGTTCAGGAGGGGGTCCCGGGTTGCTCAGCGGTTGCTTGGGCGGTTGTGCGGGAGTTTGCACTTCGGCGTGCTTGTCTGCCCGCGGAGTCGGGTTTGGCTCCGGCGTCGGTTGGTTCCTACGGAGACTCCCCTTCCGCCTCTTGCATTCCTTGGGTTCCTCTGGGGATCTGGTGTTGGTGCTGCGTCACCAGCTTCCTCTTTGGGGTTTTCGGGGTTCCGTGCCTTGGCAGCTCCCCGAGCCTTCGCTCGATGTGTTCACGGACGGGTCGTCTCTCGGCTGGGGCTTTGTGACCAGTGCTCACCAGGTCGGCCGAGGTTGATGGAGTCTGTCTGTCCGTCGGGCTCACAGCCCGGTTCAGGTGTTCATGGCTGTCTGGTTTGCGCTTCGGAGGGTTTGGGTCACTAGGTACTCTACCATTCAGCTCTGTTTGGACTGTTCTCTGGTGGTTCTTGCCGGAACCACAGGGGGTTTGGTTAACCGTGTGGTTCGTGTCCGGGGTGTGTCCTGCGTCCTGGTGGACAGCTGTCTCGGTTCATTCCTCTTCGTGGGTTGGCCAGTCGTCGCCGATTCGTTTTGTTGGCTCTGTTGGGCTTATGGACTCCTGGCCATGGACGTCTTCGGGTCGGCGTGGTCTAGGCGTCGCCCGTTTTGTGGCGCCCTTCCCACCTGCGAGGACTTCACGGTGGAGGCTTTCGGCAGGCCTGGTCGAGGTGGGGGGTACCTGTACCTCTTCTCCCGGTCCAGCTGTTGCTTCGGGTTCTGGCTCGGTTGCAGCCCATTCCCACGAGAACAGTCCTTATGGTTCCATGGTGGCCGGCCCGGCCTTCTTTTCAGACGCTGCTTGATAGGTGTCCGTACCCGGGGCGTTTTTCCTGAGGCTTCGCCTCTTTCAGCAGGCCGAATCGGTCCTGTCCGTGACTGGTTCGGCCTTCTCTTTGGCTCTTCGCGTCTGGTATTTTGACGCAGGTATCACCATCTCTATGGTGTTCAGGTGGCTTTGTTGACGGTGTCCCACCTGCGAGCTTCGTCTTGGAGACTGTATGACGTTTATTACGTTTTCTCGCGTTTTGTTTCCCCTCCGGCCTGCTCATGAGTCGCCTGAGCCATCCTGGTCCTTGTTCAGGGTGCCTTCTTCTCTTCCCCTCAGTTTGTGGTAGCCCCTTCGGTTTCAGTTTCCTCCTCTTTGGTACTGGTGGTAGCTTTATTGGTGTGCAGCCTTTCTCTGTCCTGGCGACGGTCGAGACGGCTGCTTTCCGGAGGGGTTCTTGGGGTATTGGTACTTGTTTGGTTTGGCCGGGGGGTGCGTCCTGTGTTGTCCGGTTGTGCTTTTTGCTGTTGCCGGCGTACCGTGCCTGGGGATGCGCTGTGGTTGATCCGGTTCCTTCGTTCCCTGTTTTCAGGGCTCGGGTCTCCCAGGTCGTCCGCAGTGTTTTCCTTCTTCCTGCGGTCTGTCTTTGCGCCCGTGCTGTTCAGACGTTTGCAGCAATTGCTGCTGTGTTGGTGACGTCTTTCATTACATTCAACGCTGGTTTTTTGGGAGTCCCGTCGACTCCCTGAAACTATCATACACTGATCAGTGCCATACTGCTATGTACCATCAGTCGTGGAGTTCTGTTGTCCTACAAGAGACCATGAGCCAGAACCTCGCCTCCCTCAGAGAGGCGCAGGGAGCAATGGCCTATGAACACTTTAAATGTAAAGTTAATCATAATTGCATCCAGAAAGATAGATGAACCAAAACAGACTACTGCATGATTAAAAACACGATTGCAGCCCCAAAATTACCAAAAGAACATTCCCAACAATGAAAACAAACTACCAAAATTATCATGTGCTAGTTTTGAAATTAATGTACCAAACCTAGAATTTATGACATTTCAGAGTATCAGGTGGTGTGGATGCCAGTGAGGAGGCCTGGCTCAATCATATGATGGCAAGCAGAAGCAGTGGAGCTGTGACTGTTCCGGATTGGCTTCACCCTTCCCTGGTCCCTTCCTGGCCTCATCTTCATGACCTCATGGCCCTTCCCTCCTTTCAAGGTATACTGTAGTCAAATGCAAATTAAATCCTTCTGCTTTATTTACAATTTTGTATATTTAAATATTTTTTTCCTTAATAATGCTGGACTTAATATGTACATCAATAATAAAATCTGAATAAATTTTTTATTAAAACAAGTTACTGTAGCTTTAAATGGTAGATGAGCTATAATGTTGATAAATGTACAATTTTACATTTTGGAAGCAAAAATTAGCAAGCTAATGGATGAACACCATAAAACTAATGAAAGTAAATGGAGAGAGACCTGAGAGTGATAATGGCTACTGATTGTAAGCCAAATAGGCAATGTACTGAGGCTGTACAAAAATATGTCAATAGAATATTGGAAAATCTTTTCATTTTCAGTCCAAATACATCTTCCTCACCGAGTACAAATTATTGGTTTGTCCCATTCTGCAATATTGCATGCAGCTTTGGTCACTCTTAAAGCAGCAGAGATCACACCACTTCACAGGAGGTAGTAAAGCAGATACAAAAAATGTGGACCAATAGCCCTAACATCACACACAAAAATCTTTGAAAAAGTGCTAAGTAGTAAGATCACAAATCACATGGAATCACAACATGTACATAACCCCAGACAACATGGTTCAGAACAGGGCACTCCTGCCTCTCACAATTGCTAGATCACTATGACATGGCCTTAGTAGCCATGGAAGACAAGTAAAACACTGATGTAATATATACAGACTTTGCAAAAGCTTTCAACAGATGTGACTGTGGTGTTATTGTAAGCACGATGCATTTGAAAGGAATTACTGGCAGAGAAGGGAAATGAATCTTTAACTTCCTAAAGAACAGAACCCAGAGTGTAATAGTCAACAAACTGAAATCCAGGTCATTCACTGTGAAAAGCTCAGTCCTCCAAGGACTGTACCGTGATACAAGGTACAGTATTGTGATTCCTCCAATACTTTTTCTCATCTTCTAATCAGACATAGACAAGTATACAAACTATAGTACTGTATCATTTTTGCAAATGACATTAAGATTTTCATGAGAGTAGACAGTATTGAGGACACAGCAAACCTCTGATCTGATGTTAATCAGGGCCATCAATGGGCCACAGATAATATGTTTAACTACTGTGATGCGTCACATTTATTGTGAAATTCTTCCTCTGAGCTGAAAATCAAGTTTTCACAAAAAACAAAAAACACAATTTTTGTAAAATGATAAATTCCCTTCCCTGAACATGTACATGTAAAAAAAAATAATATTCAATTCTACTTACTTTCTACTTATGACCCAGAAGCAGTCGTGTGGGCAATTCGAGCCTCATAAGTTGTCACCAATATATTTACCATTATTTTTCTATGTATTTTCAATGCTTTATAATTAGTTTTTCTGTGAAGAGCCCCTCTGGCTCCCTGGAGCTATATCGAGCTGATACATATGTATATATTAGACCATGGCATCAGTTCAATTAAAGGAGTTCTTGCCTACCTGGGACCACGAGCCAGAACCTGGCCCCCCCTTATAGAGGCGCGAGGAGCAATGGTTTATAGAAACCCCCGTGTGGTTGTGGTTGCTTGTTTGCCATTATACACAGCGGCTGGTTCTGTTCCTCCTGGAGACAATATGCTTTTGCGGGGTTTTTCTTTTGCTTTTTGTTTCTTTTACCTGGTGGGGGTCTACACTTGGTTATTGTTACCCTGTTATTTTGGTGGTTCCTCACTAGGCCCCTGTAATTGTTCACTTCTCAGGGATTCACCTATAGTTGTTCTCTCGATAGTTTGGGCCAACCGGTTAGCAGGACCTTGCCTGGGTTACCCTTAGCAGTAAGCCCATTGGGGCTCATTGGTCCCATGGCGGTGTCCTCTGGGTCCCATCTCGCTTCGTGCGAGTCAGAAGGTGGCTCTCTCCCCTTGTCTCTAGAGAGGTGGTGGTGGCGAGACTCGGGCAGTTTCGAGGGATGCCACACCCAGTTTGGCGACGGAGGCATTCGGGCCTGCTCCTCCAGCTGGCGCTTCGGGGTCTGACCAGTGGGCCCCCCTTTTTCCTGCTTTTCCGGTGGATTCCGCCTTTTCTTTAGAGGCAGAGGGTTTGGAGCTGATACCCTCTGCACTGGGCTTGTTGCAGGGGAAGGGGTTTTCTAACCCCGCTTCCCTGTATGAGTTTGATATGAGTTTGGCTCCACCCAAGGTTTGGTTACGGGTTCCCTTGAGTTCTTCGGTCCCTAACTTCCAGAGGTTTTCGACCTCCCGCATCCCGCCAAAGAGAGTTCAGGAGGCCATTGCAGCGTATCTCCTGCATGACCGGATTTTGCCTCGCTAATGGACCCTTCCTCATTTGAGTTGGGTTCTGTTTTTCTTATTGGGTGCATTACATTACCAGGTGCTGGAGTCATCCTGGTTGGCAGACCATCTTTTTTTTTTTTGGGGGGGTGGGGGGCATGGCATATGTTCTGTCGGGCGCCTCGCACGCTTGAATGGCGGAAAATTCTACGGTGGTTGAGGTTTACCTGGAGGGGGGCGAGTTCAAGCAGCTCAATATGTGCTTATTCGCCCCATTCTTCCTAAGGATATTGGCCAGGTGCAGCTTCATGTGCCGGTTCCCATTCTTTCGGCATCCCTGGTTGCTGAAAATTTGTGCACCCGGGGACATTTGGCTTCGGTTTTGGGTTTCTTTTCCCTACTCGAGCTGTCTTTGAACTGGCTTGAGGAGGATGTGGTGTGCTTGACTCGGCGACTCAAGTGTTGGCTGCTTTGTTGATATTGTTTGCACCTATTGTGATGTGTCTATTCTGTGCTTCTCACCTTGCATGCCAGCAGGCTGTGCTTGCTCTGTCTCTAGAATCTGTGTGGGCCCCTGGCTCTTAGATATTTGTCGCCCTTTTGCCTGTTGCTGTTTGCAGACTCTGCGGTTGTGCAGTATCTGCAGGCAGCTTCGTCTAGCTGTCGCCCTATGTCTGACTTGTTGGTTCTCCGGGGTGGCCGTGGGGGTCTTTCCCGGAGGGGTCGTGCCAGGGTTTGGGGTTCCTTCGGTCGTGGTAGGCCAGTGGTGCCAGTTTCAGAGCCAGTGTCATCTGGCTGGCGCGCACTGTGCGTCGCTCGGTTTCTCGTATGGGGCGTCAGGCATTTCACGGTTCACCCTGTCGACAGAGCGGTCAGCTCACGCTGTTTGCTCATGCCTGGTCCCACAATTTGTGGGCGTTTCAGGTCGTTTCCTATGGCCTGCGGTGGCAATGGGTGCCTCCTCCTCCTTCGGGGGGGGGGGGGGATCGGGGTTCGCGGGGCAGGCTTCTTCCCCTGAACTCTGTCAGGTTGTCTTGGAGTAGATGTGCTTGGGAGTGGTCGAAACAACTTTGTCTCTCAGGTGGGTTTCCTGCCTGTTTCCAGTTTTCAAACAGGACTGTGCGGATCTGAGGTTCATTCAGGACTTGCCCCATCTGAACCCCTGGGTCATTTGCCCCTCCTTTCAGTTGATCACTCTGTCCCAGGTCCGGCTTCCTTTGTAGCCAGATGCATGGATGGTGTGTGAACCTCCGGGACATGTATTGGTACGTCCTGATTCATCAAGGGGGTTCAGGGATTGGCTCAGCTTGTCATGAGGTGGCAAACTTACCACTTTTGTTGCCTTCCATTTGGCATGAATCTAGCACATTGCACTTCCACACGCCTTACCCGTGTCATGGTGTCCAGTTTGCATCTACTAGGAGTTCAGGGTTCTGGCCTACCTCGACGACTAGCTGGTTTGGGCTCCCAGCCGGTTAGCGTGTCTGCTCGCCAGGGCTTTGGTTCTTACCCAGCTCACCGGGTTCGGGTTCTTGGTGAACTGGAGGAAGTCCCATTTGGTTCTCTCTCAGGTTCGGACTTGGCCGAGTCTTGTGTGGGACTCTCAGTCTGCTTCCTTCTCTCTTCCTCTGGCTTCGTTGTTGCGGCTGCAGTCCCATCTTCAGCTGTTTGAGGTGCTCCTGGGCCTCTCGTCAGTTGCTTGAGTAGCTATGCGAAAGAATGAACTTCGCCGTGCTGGTTTACCCGCTTGGGCAGGTCTGGCTTCAGTGGCTGTTCTGGTTCCTTTGGGGACGTTCCTTCCGTTGCTCTCGCGATCGCTAGGTTCGGGCCCTGGGGGCTTTGCGTCGCTGGTTACCTCTTCGGGTATTTCAAGGTTCTGTGCCATGGCGCCTACCTAAGCCTTCACTCGATGTGTTCACGGATGCCACGTCTCTCGGCTGAGGCTTTGTGACCAGTGCTCACCAGGCCGGCCAGGGTCGGTGGGGTCTGGTCTTCCATCGGGCTCACAGCAGGGCGTGGGAGTTCGCGGCGGTGTGGCATTCGCTTCAGAGGGTTCGAGTCACTTGCGGATCAACAATCCGGCTCCATTCAGACTGCTCCCCTGTGGTTCATTGTCTGAACCGCGGGGGATCGATGTAGTCCTTGGCTCTTTGGGGCTGGTCACTTCAGGTGACTCGTCTGCTGAGTTCTCGGGGTTTGGCTCTCCCAGCGGTTCATGTCCAGTGTGTGTCCAATGTACTGGCAGACAGCCTGTCCCGTTTTATTCCCCCCTGTCCACAGAATGGACGGTCAACGCCAACTCGTTCTGTTGGCTCTACCTGACATTCGGATGCCCGGATGTGGATCTCTCTTTGTCATCTTGGTTGAGGCGTCTTCCGGTATATGCAGCGGCTTTTTCTGACTGCGAGGCCATCTGGGTTGATGCCTTTCGACTGGACTGGTCAAGGTGGAGTTACCTGTACCTCTTTCCACCGGTTCGGTTCTTGCTCCAAGTCCTGGCTCGCCTAGAGACTTACCAGGGGTGGGTAGTCCTGTTGGCCCCATGGTGGCCAGCCCAGCCCTGGTTTCAGGCACTGCTTGCTCAGTGTCCAAACTCGAGGGGTCTTCCCATGGCTCCGGCTCTTTCGACAGATCAGTCCAATTCGGTACGAGGCTAGTTTGATCTTCTCCTCTGCTCATGACGTCTGGTCTTTTTGTCGTGGGTTTATCAATACTTGTATGGTGATCAGGTGGCTTCGTTGATGGTGTCCCACCTGCGAGTTTCGTCTCGGCTGCAGTATGAAGTTTCCTGGTGGTCCTTTTGGCACTTTGTCTCTTCATAGGTTGTCTTCGATTTCTGATCGGGCTTTTTGTCCTTTCTCTCTTGGTTGTTTCAGGACCGTCATCTTATGCAGAATAATGTTGCTTTGTATTGTGTGGTGCTAGCGGAGCCACTTCTGCTTGTGTTCAGGGTGGATGTCACTTCTGCTCTGTTCCGAAAGCTTTCTCGGTCATTGTTTATGGCCTGCTCATGTGCCACCTGAGCTGTCCTGGTCTTTAGACCAATTGCTCACTTTTCTCTATTCTCCTCGGTTTGTGGTGGGGAGCTTCATGCTCTCCTCCGGTGCAGGGGTTTCTGCTCTTTCGATCCTGGGGGGTCGGTTTGTTCATTTGCAGCCATCTCCTCCATTTTTGGCGAAGAATGAAATTGCTACTTTCCGGAGGGGTCATTGGGTTGTTGATTCTTGGTTGGTTCGGCCGGGGGTGCATCATGTTTTGTGTCCGGTTGTTGATCCGTTACTTACGTGCCATGGCCTCTGTGGCAGTGGACGCGCTTTGGGTTGACCCGGTTTCTCGTCTTCCCTGTTCCAGGACGCAGGTCTCCCCAGGTCGTCCGCAGGATTATTCGGTCTAGCCAGCCTGTGGTCTCGCCCCGTGCCCACGACGTTCGTAAGTTAGCGGCTTTGGCTGCTGTTTTTTTTGTAATATGTCCTGGACTGATATTTGGACACAGGACTTTAGGGGGCCGAACAGGGTCCTAGCCGCACCGTACCTTGTTCACGTTCCTGGCCCTTCTCGGGGAGTGTTTAGCCTTGGGTCGCAGGTTACAGCCAGTTGTCTCGACTTCAAGTTGAGGAGCGAGTGGCAGCCGCCTCCCAGGTAAATCCATCTTTTCCTTTATCTTTGGTTAGGTAGCTCCAGGAAGCCAAAGCGGCTCTCCACAGAAAACCAGCGTTGAATGTAATGAAACACCATTTTCTGGGTGAGACCCGGAGGCTTCCTTGTATCCCTCTCTCCCTCTGGTCTGTGTTTTTTTTGCACTTCTGATATTCAGCCTCTGAACTGAGGTTGAATAGCCGGTGCGCAAGGTCTGGGACCCCCCCTTCCCCTCTCCCGGGGAGGGGGAGTTGCGCAGACAGCGGTGCAGCAGCTGTGGTGATGTCACACTTGTTTGCTTGTTTTCGATTGAGGAGTTCTGCTTACTAGTTTGGCTTTCTGTTTGCAATTTTTTAATCAGCTGTAGTTTGGGAATTCCTACCTTTCTGGGTGCCTGACCTGGTAGATGTCAGATATAGACGGCTTCCAATTACACGTGGGGTGTCTATAGGCCATTGCTCCTCGTTGCCTCTGAGGGGGGGCCAGGTTCTGGCTCATGGTCCTCAGTAGGCCTAGAACTCCATCGATTGACTGTTGCCAGGGTCTAATATATACACATCAGCCCAATATAGCTCCAGGAAGCCTCTGAGTCTCATCCAGAAAATGGTGTGTCATTACATTCAGCTGATTTTTAGTTCCCGTGATCACAGGATCACTTCATTTTAAAAATATAAGAAGTGAAAAATGGAGGAATAATTTTTTTCTGTGCACAGGGGCATTTCATTACATTCAATACTAGTTTATTTCACTATTCAGTATGAAATGTTCCCAAATGGGAACACAATTGGTCCCCCCTGGCTTTGCTTCATCTGTCTAGTATTTGCATGATCACATCACTGGTGCTACATACATGTTTACAAGTACTGTATTAATGATCCTGCTAATATGATTCTCATTTATTTTTGTATTCAGGATTGGAAGTTAGTTTAAAACAAGAGGGAGCAACCTGGGGGAAAGTTGTCTCTAGCAATCTGCCTGAGAAATCTTTGCTACCCCGTCCATGGAATCATCTCTCGCACATACCTTGGCTCATCTTAATCTCTGCCTTAAGACAAGATAAGGTACGAGAAGGTTATATCACTGTAATGTCTAGCTATAAATTTTATTAATCAAAAGATTTGGTTCTATTATTTGTTAGTTTTGTTTTCAATGTTTATTTTCAGTTTTATTTGCCAAAGTATTGTTGCATTCATATGTCAAGTTGTGTATGGGAGAGAAAGTTTGTTTCAATGTTTTATTTTTATCAGATATTTTTCTTTAGTTTTGTCAATGTTAATTTATATTACTTCAATTTTGCAAGTATGTCGAGCATTGTATGAAAGAAAATTTGTATGTAAAGTAGTTCCTCCGCTTGTGTCTCCCCTCGCCACCCTTAGAGGGGTCCTGTATCATCTTCTTTTTCGCAATACGTGCAGTTTGCATGAAGGTAGTATATCCTCCCAATGATTGCACGAGTGGGAATGTAGAAAGATGCGTATATGACAATGCACAACACATCTACAGTCACGATGTGCCCGAGTCAAGAAGATAATGATGCCGTCAAGGTGGGCGAGGAGACAGGCAAAATAAACAAGAGGAAAGGGACGTAGGATGGGAATAATGAGAACAGAAGGCGAACACAAAGCGTCGCTTCAGTAAAGAAAGTGAGGGACGTAGGCAAGAGACGAAGGGCGTGGGGCGAAGGATGTGAAGGAGGCAAGTGCAAAGCAGACAGGAGAAAGGAAGAGGGGGGTGCAAACAGAGGAAGGAACAAGGAGTGAATGTGTAGAAGGGTAGAGGAAGTCAAGATGGGACAGGCGAGGTTAGAACAGGGCAAGGTACGTAGATGGCATCCGGAGCCTCACGACTGGGACGCTAACGCATCGGACTCCACAAAAGAGCCAGCAGGACAACAGGAGGAAGACCTAGGAATGGCGCAAGACCAAGTTGTGGGAGAACACGAAGTAGGAGGCCCATCAGGTAAGGTGGCAGGGCGCTTGGATTGCTTCCACGACGGAGGATTGCTTCCGCTTAGTACCTGGGGCAGAGATGTGCAGCAATGCAGCCTGGGGAGAAAGACTGGGAAGGCTTGGCAAAGAGTTCCAAGGGGCTTTGTCCAGCATCAATTTAAACGCACTGGAGATAGCTGAGGCAGCTGCGGGAGGATGAACGTCAGCCATAGAAGCGGAGGGAAGAAGAGACGCGTCAGCCTCAGGAGCGGGAAGGACGGACTGCAGAAAGAATTTAGTGACGAGGCGGACCAGCACCATCTTGAGTGCATCCACAACACGAGCGACAGTAGCGTCATCAAGATCAGGACTCGGTTGAATGGCGGGTGGGAGAGTAGTAGTTTCGGGCGAGAGGAACGTCGGTGACAAACTTGTCAGGCACAGGCAAAGGTGGCGGCAAGGGGAAGCGGTGGGCGACTAGGAACTGCGGAAGGATGAGGCAAAACATGACTGGAGGGCGGAGTGACGACGGGAAAAGCCTTAGTAAGTGCTGCGACGTAGGAAGGACACTGCTTGAAGGTGATGGCATGATCACCACCACAGTTGGGGCAACAGAGCTTGTCGGACTCACAGTCACGAGTGAAATGGGAACCAGAGCATTTGCCACAATGGACATCATTGGTATAGCCAAGGGAGGTATGGTGAAAACCTTTACAACAAAAGCACTGAGTAGGATGGGGGATGTACACCTCCAATTTATGGAGGAAGCCGTTAATCCAAACCCGATCAGGGGGGAGGGAGTCAAGAAAAGTAAGGAGGTCAGTACTGATATCACACAGGTCGCCATCAATCTGACGCATAAATTTCCTAACACCAAAGATCGGAATGTCAGCATCTTGCAGTTGCGACTTGATGTCGTCCGCACTAACGTCAACAACATGCCGGACCACATATTGTACCAAACGGTCACCCAGAGGCATATAACAACAGACCTTGTAACCACAGATATCAGTAACATCCGAAAGCACCAAGTCCCCAGAGGAAGCGTGGTCCACTGCAATCAAGTTCCTGCATTTATTTGGCCTGAAATCGTGGGCCTTGATCTTAACCACTTAATTGCACCAACCGAGTATTCTCGGTCAGCGGGAAACTGCGCCAACCGAGAACCGCCAAACTCTTTGATTTTTCATAACCCATTCTAAATGTGTACGAGGTTGGTTGTGTATGAAATGGGCTCTTAGGACCTCCAGTGAGAGGCAGCCATCTTGGAAAAAATTCCCAGAATGCCCTAGGGCTGCTGGCTGTGTTAGTACTGAATGAGCAACCATGGGTGGCGCACGCACCTCTGGCTCCCAAACACCTGTCCGACGCGGTGTTGAAAGATAATGCTCTGTCGATGAAATTCAAACCTTATTGTTTGAAGAACATAAGGGGTCATAATATTGGGGAAGTTAGGCGCAATAAGGACCAAACACAAAGGTCGGATGCAAGTGATACAGCACCTATGAGGATGATACTGCGAGCGTATCCAGTTGTAGCTCTGAGCGTCACCCTTGCAATCCTATGTTATTTATTTAGACGATACGTAGATGAATCGTTTCCTGCGTTCAGTGATGATGCATCTGATACAAATAGCATAGATGAACAGTGTTAGCGGCTTCCATGGTGGTGTTTTCCATAGATATTTTCAAAAATACCTGAATCTCTTCCTAACTGACGGACACTCTGAGGCTAGCTGAATCTCTTTCTGACTGACGGACACTCTTGAGGTATGCTAAATCTTTTCCTGTGTGGGATCATACAAAGCAATCTTTTCAAGACTACCTTACAAATTGATCTTTTCCAATAATCTTTTCAATACTACCTTATGCTTTACAAGCTTGGTTACATACAACCTACAAGTACTAAAGCCAAGGGTGTACGTGAGTGCGTTATTTGCAAGCACACAGAATGAAGAAACAGGAAGCGAAAATTTATCTGTACCTGGTGCAACGAGAGCAAAGTCGCGCTGTGTACCATGGGGCTACTTCGTTGATTATTACTCACTTCCGAAGTACTGAGTGTGTAATACAGTGTGTTACTGTGTAAATAGTGTGTAAAACTGTACATATTGTAATTTTAATGAATTTTTAACAGGTAATATTGCGACAATAAACATTTATTGTGGACACATTACTGACACATGTATCACAGTTCCAGGGAACATTATGAACATTCTACTGTATACATATTGTAAAGGACACAAATATGCATCATATACGATAAAAAAAATAAATAAAACCGCATTGGAAATACATAAAACAAATAATTGAAAATATATTTGTGGCAACACCCGGTGCTTGAATGGCCCGCGCGACCGTGTCTGGGAGATTCAGCCACAGGCGACCAGCCCTGATGACGTCACAGCACACCTTGTCCACGTCCCCACAGCCAAAGTAAGTGGAATTTGGTATTTATTTTTACATAGACATGTTCAGAGAAGGGAATTTATCATTTTACGAAGAAAAAAGAATTTTTTGGGAACACTTTATTTCATGCGCACCGTGGGAATTTCACAATAAACTCCGCGCAGCACGGTGGTTAAAGAACTCTGGAAAAGCTTAATAGAAAAGACTTCGTGCCCTACTATTTCCAAAAATGCTCCAATCAGCGGGCGTATCGGCATCAAAGGCAATGATATACGTACGTAGGCCAGAAGAACTCGTGTGACTGGGAGGGAGTGGGATTGGAGACATACAGCCACAATAGTTCTCAACGCTTCAAAACAAACCCACGGGGACAGTTAAACGCTGATGCCGCCATGCCTGGCGTGTTGACGTTCGTCCTGTATTATGTCAAGAACTGAAGGGATATGCATGTTCATGTACTGTTAGGGGTATACTGCCATTGTGAAGGTGTGCACTTCAGTTTCTCATTGCAGTTGAGAAGGTACAGTTAACCTGGTGAATTGATGATTGTTCTGTACTACTGTATATGTTCACATTCCTTGTGTTTGTAAAATATATGTAATGCATGCACCATGCTACTTTGGTTGAATCCCTCGAGATGAAATAATTGTGTGGGTTGAGTCTACTGGAGCTCAGTTATGTATTTGGTAGAAGGGTCACTTATATTTTTGTATGTGTTAACCTAAATTAAATTATTTCAAATAATAAAATGTATAGAATTTTGTGTTCATCCTCCCTTCATAACTCCTCAGATACATTTTATGTATGGTGTAAATAACACAATGTAAGCTATCAATGTTTAATAACCTGGGAACTAATTTGTTCTAGATAACGTGGGCCGTGAAAATGATTATTGAAGAGGTTCTTGGGCCTCAGTTTGTCTCGCCACCACCTGCAGATATAAACAGATATCTGGAAGCACCAGTGACTGTGAAAATATCATCTCATGCCCCTGTAATTCCTCGAGCTCCAGTTCCCCTGCTGTTGGTGACTACAGCTGGAGTTGATGCCCTGGAAGAAGTTATGCTACTAGCTGGTCAAAAACCTCAAGTTACTCTCACAAATGTATCTCTTGGTCAAGGACAGGTAAAAATAATGTTTTACTTGAATATGTATAGGAACTTGGATTTTGTTCAGTAGAAACAGAGTTCTGTGCATTTTTATTTATTTATTTATTTTTTTTTTGAGATATATACAAGAGTTGTTACATTCTTGTACAGCCACTAGTACGTGTAGCGTTTCGGGCAGGTCCCTGGAATACGATCCCCTGCCGCGAAGAATCGTTTTTTCATCCAAGTACACATTTTACTGTTGCGTTAAACAGAGGCTACAGTTAAGGAATTGCGCCCAGTAAATCCTCCCCGGTCAGGATACGAACCCATGACATAGCTCTCGCGGAACGCCAGGCGAGTGTCTTACCACTACACCACGGAGACCGTAAATGTTATTGTTAAATTATAGTATTTCTGGAGGAGCCCATGTAGAGCACAAGCTTCCAATTCATATCTTTGAGTACAAACTATCGAAACCCGTCCTTACTGCTTAGAAATATAAAGGCTAACGGAGTCTACTTCATAAGGATACATATAGCATGCCTTGCGTGCACGCACACACTCTGGAGGAGGCAGGAGTCACACACACACACACACACACACACACACACACACGGGGGATTCAAAAGGTGACACCCCTAGGGTCAACACTTGCAGCAGAGGAGCTCCAGCATATTTCAACAATCCTAAGTATTGTAGTACAGGTTGATGGTAGTGAGTGGTGTCCCAGAGAACATAAAGGTATAGTGCTCTTGAAAAATAGGTGAGATAACAGGAAAGTGCTAAGGGAAGTGAAAAATCGGATGAGAAAAAGTTGCCCTAGTGTTTACAGTGCAGAGAAGAACATTCAAGATGGCCACTGGCAAGGGGAAAAACAAAACAGAGCTTGATTTTGAGGGATTCAATGAAGAAAGCATTGATATTAGTAGTCTACATAACAAGTTGGTAAATTTAGATACTATAGTGAACTCTCATGTAGAAATAATTAGTAAATTGAAAGAAAGTAATGACCATTTGAATAGCAAAGTATTATGTCTTGAGGGTTTAGTGAAAGACTTGCGCAAGGATAAGAATCAATTGGAAACAAATTGCAAAGCCATGGAAGAAGAAAATAAACTCTTAAAAATAGCTTTGGAAGAAGTTAAAGTAAATTTAAACATAAATGACTACAATAGGTTAGGCAAGGAAATTCAACAGGAGAAACAGCTTTTGTCAGCACAGATGGAGGAAGTTACACAGGGAATAGAACAGTGCAAGAAAGATATGCAACTCACTTATGCACAAGTGGCCAAGGAGAAGGAAAAAATAGAAGAAGCAGTAAAGGAAGTCAAACACTGCAGCAACCAAGATAAAACAAACATTAGGCTAGAAGTGAGGAAAGAATTGGCATCTAACCCGAAGTTGGTGCAAAACACAGTTGATCGGAGTAAGTCCCTGATCATTTTTGGCTGCAAAGAAAAGGCGATAACATCTAGGTCGGAAAGAGCTGTAGAAGAAGCTAAAGTAGTAGATAAAATTGTTGGCCTCGTGGAAGGTCTTACAAACAGAGAGAATGTGTGCGACTACAGGAGAATAGGCAGGTACATAAAAGGGAAAGATCGACCTTTGAGGATCACCCTAAACGGTGCCAAACAGATGGAAGAAGTACTAAGGAATGCTAGAAAATTGCAAAGGGATGAGGATGGGAAAGGGTGGTCATTAAGACGAGATCTTTCAAAAGAAGATAGAGAGAAGCTGAAACTGAACCTCGCCGAGGCAAAACATTTAAATGAGAGCAGGAATGAAGAAGAAATAAATTCTTTTTTCTACAAAGTGATAGGGGTAGGCAAACCAGTAAAGTGGTACATAAAGGCAAACCAACAAAATCAATAGAGAGAGGGGGAGTGAAGAATAAGGAGAGGGGGAACAAGTTCCTGAAGATTGCATACACCAACATAGATGGAGTGAGATCGAAGATACTGGAGTTAAGTGATGTAATACAGCTGCAGACACCAGACATTGTTGCACTCACGGAGACAAAACTTGAAGATGTAATTTTAAATGAGGTCATATTCCCGAGGGGCTACTCAATTTGGAGACGGGACAGAAAAATTAGGAAAGGCGGTGGCGTTGCTGTGCTGGTAAAAGAACACCTAAAGGTGAAGGAAATAATGACTGCCAATCCACAAGAAGTTGACATAATAGCACTAGAGATCTGCTATGAGGATGATAAACTAATGATGATAAATGCATATAGTCCACCGCCAAGCAGCACATGGTCAAAGGAGGAGCTAGATAGTAAACGTGAAGGTCTTATAACAATAATGAGAGAGATTATAGCGAGAGCGGATAACGATAGATCACGACTGTTGATAGTCGGTGACTTCAACTTGAAATCCATAGACTGGGAAGCATATGAAGCTAAAACAGAAGATTTTTGGACCTGTAAATTTGTAGACCTCATCCTGGAAACATTCTTGTATCAACATGTTAAACAAGCTACGAGGATGAGGGAAGGGGACGTTCCCTCCATGCTAGATTTGATATTTACCAGGAAGGAGGAAGAGATATTTGACATTCAGTACCTTCCTCCCTTGGGTAAAAGTGACCATGTCTTTTTGGGAATAAAGTATGCAATGCGTTATAAGCTGGAAGAAAATAAGGAGGTTGAAGCAGTTGAAAAACCAGACTTCAGGAGAGGACATTATGGTGACCTTAGAAATTTTTGTAGTGAGTATAATTGGACAGACTTGATGCTAGGCAAGGAAGTGAATGAGATGTATGGCAAGTTTTGTGAAATATATGATAAAGGCACAAAAAAATTTATACCAAAACAGAGATGCAGAACTAGGAAACAGGATTGGTTCAATAGAAATTGCGAGAGGGCTAGAGACCGAAAGACACAAAAATGGAATCAATACAGGAAGAGGCCGAACCCCCAAACATACCAGCGATACAAAGATGCGAGAAACAACTACACGGCAGTGAGGAGAGAGGCAGAAAGAAATTTTGAAAAAGGGATTGCGGACAAATGTAAAACAGAACCAGGTCTATTCTATAAATTCATAAACAACAAATTGCAGGTAAAGGATAATATTCAGAGGTTGAAAATGGGAAATAGATTCACGGAAGATGAAAAGGAAATGTGTGAAACACTAAACGAAAAGTTCCAAAGTGTGTTTGTACAAAATGAAATCTTTAGGGAACCAGATACAATAAGAATTCCAGAGAACAACATAGAACACATAGAGGTGTCTAGAGACGAAGTGGAAAAAATGCTCAAGGAGCTCGGTAAGAACAAAGCAGCTGGCCCAGATGGCGTTTCACCATGGGTTCTGAGAGAATGTGCATCTGAGCTCAGCATTCCACTTCACCTGATCTTTCAGGCATCCCTGTGTACAGGAATCGTAGCAGACGGGTGGAAACAGGCTAACATAGTTCCAATCTACAAAAGTGGCAGCAGGGAAGACCCCCTCAATTATAGACCTGTATCATTGACAAGTGTAATAGTGAAAGTATTGGAAAAACTAATCAAAACTAAATGGGTAGAACACCTAGAGAGAAATGATATAATATCAGACAGACAGTATGGTTTTCGATCTGGAAGATCCTGTGTATCGAATTTACTCAGTTTCTATGATCGAGCCACAGAGATATTACAGGAAAGAGATGGTTGGGTTGACTGCATCTATCTGGACCTAAAAAAGGCTTTCAACAGAGTTCCACATAAGAGGTTATTCTGGAAACTGGAAAATATTGGAGGGGTGACAGGTAAGCTTCTATCATGGATGAAAAATTTTCTGACTGATAGAAAAATGAGGGCAGTAATCAGAGGCAATATATCAGAATGGAGAAATGTCACAAGTGGAGTACCACAGGGTTCAGTTCTTGCACCAGTGATGTTTATTGTGTACATAAATGATCTACCAGTTGGTATACAGAATTATATGAACATGTTTGCTGATGATGCTAAGATAATAGGAAGGATAAGAAATTTAGATGACTGTCATGCCCTTCAAAAAGACCTGGACAAAATAAGTATATGGAGCACCACTTGGCAAATGGAATTTAATGTTAATAAATGTCATGTTATGGAATGTGGAATAGGAGAACATAGACCCCACACAACCTATATATTATGTGAGAAATCTTTAAAGAATTCTGATAAAGAAAGAGATCTAGGAGTGGTTCTAGATAGAAAACTATCACCTGAGGACCACATTAAGAATATTGTGCAAGGAGCCTATGCAATGCTTTCTAACTTCAGAATTGCATTTAAATACATGGATGGCGATATACTAAAGAAGTTGTTCATGACTTTTGTTAGGCCAAAGCTAGAATATGCAGCTGTTGTGTGGTGCCCATATCTTAAGAAGCACATCAACAAACTGGAAAAGGTGCAAAGACATGCTACTAAGTGGCTCCCAGAACTGAAGGGCAAGAGCTACGAGGAGAGGTTAGAAGCATTAAATATGCCAAAACTAGAAGACAGAAGAAAAAGAGGTGATATGATCACTACGTACAAAATAGTAACAGGAATTGATAAAATCGACAGGGAAGACTTCCTGAGACCTGGAACTTCAAGAACAAGAGGCCATAGATTTAAACTAGCTAAACACAGATGCCGAAGAAATATAAGAAAATTCACCTTCGCAAATAGAGTGGTAGACGGTTGGAACAAGTTAAGTGAGAAGGTGGTGGAGGCCAAGACCGTCAGTAGTTTCAAAGCGTTATATGACAAAGAGTGCTGGGAAGACGGGACACCACGAGCGTAGCTCTCATCCTGTAACTACACTTAGGTAATTACACACACACACACACACTCCTTGTCTTGTCTTCACTGACAACTCACATAGAGGAGGTGAATAAAGAACTAGAAAAGTATAAAGAAGAAATAAAAGCGACATATGCTCAAGTTGTAAAAGAGAAAGAGACTATCAAAGAAGTGTGTTCGGAAGTCAAAACCAGAAATGACCAACAAGAAGCAGAAATTAGGCAAGCAATTAGGAAAGAACTGGTTACCAACAGTAAACTGGTACAAAACACTGCAGATAG